AATTTTTCATCCGGTGACGTAACAAGATCGAGCCCGGTTCTTTACCGTAAATACTGTATTCAAGATGGTAAAATCGTTCCCAGGATCTCTCTCTTACCCGTCAAGGAACGGGTAAGTAGAGCAAGATTGAAATTTCGCGCGCTGTACAACGCATGCTCTGTTGCCAATATTCCCAGATGAGTCCTGGGTAATATAGTGAATCCGGATACGCCTCGGATACGTGTGGATGGGCAAATTTGATTTGAATACGGATACGTATGGTCGTTGAAATATTGATTCCGGAAAGAAAAAGTTGCGGATTCAAAAATATCCGGATTCGTGTAGACCGACGGGGCCAAAGGGCCTGGGCCTGTTTCTAGAAAGTCCTGATGACTTTTCGGGCCCAGAAAGCTGTTTTTTGTTTGCCGTATTTGCATTCAAGATCAAAGTTTCAATAATTTTGAAAATCATACAATGAAATTATCAGATAATGAAGAAAAATTGCTGGTTTGTAAGTTAGGAACTGTGCTACTATTCAACAGGTTTTGATTTTAAAATTTGCCCTCGGGTCCAAAAAGTTTCCCTTCGTTTCGAGAAACGGGCCCCTGTTTACATGGAGGCAGGGAACCCCGGGTAAGTGAGGTAACCCGCTTGTGCATATAATTTTTCATTTTACTTTGATCACGTTTACATGATAGATTGGGTGACCATATAAGACATTATATGGATAGGCAGGTTAACCAACCGGAGCGTATTACCTCGCCTACCTGGGGTCCCCCCCTCCATGTAAATTGGCCCTAATTCAGAGCGGACAAAGTGAGAGACAGATGGAGATCTACCGATTGTGGACCATTACGAAATGACAATTACAAGTCTCTTAATAGTTCGTCAATTCACAGTAATTAATACTTAGCAATTATTAGATGAGGCTGAATATGATCTAAAACATTATGGAGTTCTAGGGAGGTTTTATCCACTGAGGCCGAAGGATAATTCAACCGCACTCATAAGAGTTCAATAACCATTCCGTTCAGTTTTAGTCAGGAACTTGGCTACTTCGTTTTCGGTGAACAATTTCAACATATGCCTACACAATATAAACTGTAACTAATGCTTAAACAGCTAAGCTGTCGCGCCACTGCCTGAGAACGACGTAGCGGTTTTTTATTTCCTACATCTTCCAAACATGGTAGGCGCTGGCTGGTTATGAAGGATAGCGGGGGCTACCTGATTTTTTATTTTTGTTTTATTTTCAAACAAATACTTTCAGTGCTCTCGGAAGTAACGGCACATGGTTTGCAAGCCTCCTAAAGGCTAATAGTTCATAACTGGCAGTTTAAAGCTAATAAAGAAAACGGTCACAATTTCTACAAAATGCTATGTCCCAATACTACGTCCAGAGTTCTTCCTCGTTAGTTTTGGTTCCTGAGGAGTTCCCACTGCTTCAATGATGAACAACAAGGTCAAGGTCGCAGTCACTTATTTCGACAGAATTACTAGAAGACAATACTTCTTGCTCTTGCCTAGAGATGCCTGCGTCTATTTCTAAACTTGTTTGAATGAAACATGAGCGATTATTCGTTGAATGTTAGGGACTGGCCAAAAAGTATGGGGGGGGGGGGGTGGGGCGGCAGTTTTGGTATAATGGTTTGAAAAAAAAAAATTGACCCACCCACCCCCACCGGAAAAAAAAGAACTCCTCCACCCCCAAACCATAATGAAAAACACAATACCCTCCCCCCCATTTATAAATTTGGTATCGGTT